AAAAAAAAAAAAAAAAAAAAAAATACAGAGCGCGACCCACTTACCAAAATCGCCCGCACAAATTGCGTCCCTGTTAGCCATAAAGAAAGGGTGCGTATTAAATATGTGGTCCAGGACGACTTCCATTGTAGGTTTATGACGCAATGCTACGGAGAAACTATGGTCCGCTCGGAGTTCACCTCCGGCTGAAAGAAAGGGGGATAACAAGAGTTGTTTACATCACCTTTTATCTCCATTAACTTGATCTAGTCTTGGTGGCTTAAATTTATAGGAACATTTTCAAATTGAAATAAAATCTAGCTATCGAAGTACAGGGTTGTAACCAGTTTTTAGAAACATAGTAACAGTGTAAGAATACATGTTGTCATACATGTATGTATTGTGTTCTAATTTTCTATTTTCACTCTTTTCTTTGTATAATTCCAACCTGTTGCGCGCTACTTTCATCAACTTATTATCATTACTGAAAGCCTCACAGAAACAGACACCTTAAGAACACAATGTATAATGTTGGAATGCATTCCCATCCATCCATCCATTCATTCATCGCAAACACGCTGTTAACAATAACACAACATTTAAAAACAAATGAGATCGTTGGCCAAAAATCTATGATTTATTATTATTATTATTATTATTATTATTATTATTATTGTTATTATTATTATTATTATTATTACCTGAAGAAATGGAATAGGGGGTTGTGGCTTTATTTCTACAGCTATCACCACTTACATCTCATCAGAGCGTCCCTAAGAGCACGGTAGACGGGAGAACTTGTGGCTCTGTGACATTCAAGAAGTCTGGCCATCTTTCTCAGCACCTTTTCTTTGTTACAGGCGTTGTACAGGTCATCTATGTCTTCGCGATCTGCAGGAAAAAATTAGAAATTAAATAAACGTCATGATAAAAGTAGATTTTGTGGTTTGATTTATATTTAAAGCTAGCCTCAAGGGTCGTTTCAAAAAGACATGTCAAAAATACGTTCTCCATTTCTCTACTTTCAGTGCAGATAGACGAGGCAGAAGCGCTATCTAGAAAGTATTGATTAACGGATGATGCACTCAGGAATCCGTTGACAATACAGGATTTTTAACATGAAAGATTTTTTAACGTGAATGGTCAAATAACTGGAGATCCACAGTGTTAAGGAATGCAAAGGTTATTTAAAATATCAGAAATTTTAACATCTATGACTACGTACTTTCGATGAGACACTGGACATAGTAAGCAAAGAAATCATGAGCTACTACAGGGTCTTGGAACCGCTTTGTCCTCATGTCCACTATGGCGGACCACCTCATTGTCTTATCTTTCAGCTCAGAAAAGTAATCTGAAAATAACCAACCGAAAACTATCATATCTGAAGAAAATCCATATTTTAAAATATATTTATAATCTTTGTTCAACATATTTTACAATCTTCGCATTGCAATAGGCAGTTTATCATATGAGGATTAGAACGTGTGCTCTGTTTCAAAAATGAACAGTAGAGTGATGCAAATGAACCTAACTGGTGAATTAATGCCTTTTTTTGCCAGGGGTACTTGCACATGTGAAATACGCTTTTTTTTTTCAGCCACATATGCGGAAAGAAGTGTTAGTGTGTGTGAGCGTGCATGCGGGGGTGGGCTAGGTATGCGACTTTAAAAATAGTTAAGCATTATTTGTCTTTGGCCTGTGTCAGAGAGAGAGAGAGAGAGAGAGAGAGAGAGAGAGAGAGAGAGAGAGAGAGAATTAAACTCACCACTGAGCTCCCGAAAAGTCATGGCAAACACGTTCGTCACTTCATCAGTCAAGAGAGGGCGCTGTCTCTGCCAGAATGGAGACATCTTTTCGAATGCGTACAGGCAGGTAATCATGTCCCTACCCTCCTTCAGGAAGTTCTGATACTCTCCGTCCATTATGAGCTCTCTTATACAGCTCACTTTGTGGAGGAGGACGCACATCTCCTTGGAGGTGATGGGAATCCAAGGCACACTGGTTATGTATTTGCAAAATGCAATACCATGCGTGCGCTGAATAAAAAAAAGAGCATCACCTTAAATATTAGACATAATTTTCCTATAAAAATTTTTTCATCCTAGATACAAGTTTGTAATTTTATGAGTGCTTTCACGACAACTAATTTTTCAATTTTTGTTTAATTCATTGGTTTGAAAAATTGTATTTTATACTAAATAAATTTTATCGTTTCAGTAGACGCTCTGCGCGTTCTTAAGTTAGATCTACATCTTTAAACTCTACTTAACAGGTTTTAAAAAGCCAAAATAATATTTACCTGAATAACTTGCTCCCAAATATAAGGATCTTGACCTAAATCTCGAAAACGCCTGCATGTTGAGGTAAAATGAAGCAGAGAAGGCGCATCCAGATTCCTCCCAATCTTAACTAGAATTTCGGTTGGGATATCACAGATAATTCCGTCTTCGAAATATGTGTCCTCTTCGGAGATGTTCTTTTTCTTGCAAAACTGTAAATCGCACTCAGAAAATCGTCCTCTCTTCTTGCTCGTGCGTTGTTCAAATGAAAGTTCAACGTCACTCAACGATATGATAAAAAAATACGGGAAATACTTTGAAATAATTGAGAAATAATATCTCGTGACAGCAAACGTAATGGCAGTTACTTACTGTTTGGTTGCTACACTACGTTTCTGGGTGACGAGTTTTTTGACGTCATAATAATAACGGTAACTCTATTTTCATTGTGACGAAACATTTTAGCTTTGTTGAACGATACTTTACATTTTTCTACTTTATTTTACGCTCAGATTAAAGGGATAACAACTCTTCGTATGAAAGCTATATTTCACAATAAACAGAATAACAACTCAGAAATATAATACATTCTATTTTAACACAAAAACGGCAGTTATAGCAATTATTCTGAAATCCGTGCACGTGACCTCCATAGATGACTAAACTCTGTAATAATCTCTTAAGAAATTATTACATAAAAAAAAATTAGAAAAAAAACAAGGACTAACTTTGATTGTAGAAATGGATTCATTAACAATTGGGAAGGATAAGAAAATTGTCGTTTGCCCCAGAAAAATTCATTTTTTGGCCAAAACGAACAGTTGTTATCCTTTTTTAAGATTTTATGCTTTGTAAAGCTATTATACCCAATATTGGTGATTCAATCGATAGCGCTGTACCCAGTTTATTTCCCAGATATAATGGGCGTCATCATGTCACGTCTTTTTCCCAGATTTTTATAGTCGCTTTAGGCACTGATTTGTTTTTTGAGCAAAACATCTTCTGGGTTTACTTACAAAAAGAGGCAATTTTTTTACTTCTAACACAAGCCGATCAAATATCTTAATGTATTTCATTTTGGGAGGGGCCCAACGAAAAGTATAATATTCAAATACTATGTAACATAGCGAGAATAAAAATAGTGAGACTTCAGCTACACGGAATAGGCCTATCTGTTTTCTCACATTGTCATTTGATTTCATGGAATTTATCTCACAAATTATTTTGTCTTTGATCTTTAGCAGAAGGCGGTTGGGTGGTGACAGTAGAGTGGTGCACAGCTGGTGAATACCCAGAGAAATATCAGTGAAAATCCACTGAAAACAATACTCTGTTTTCGGTCTTGGTAGAGGTTGAATTCCATCCCCTTGCCTTGTAGAAAACTTGATTTTTTTAACTGAATAACAGAATACTCTGAAGACTTGAGAGGAGAATGATTTTATTGTTGGCTTAAATATTATCTTCACAGTTGGATTTCCTTTAAAATTAAAGGTAAAGAAGAGCCACTGATATCAGTCTTAGATGACGACATTATGACACCAGTTGGCTGAAAATTCAAAGGAAATAAAATTGGACATTTTGGTTGCATTAATAACACACCTATTCAAGTAGATTCTGTAATATCTTAACATAGTCATTTATCATGGCTTAGTGAAGGTCATCAAAGTCTGAATGGAATAAAATGTCAATTCAATTAAATTCAGTACATCTCTCAACATTGTCACTTATCATGACTTAGTGTAGGTCATCAAAGTCTGAATGGAATAAAATGTCAATTGAACCCAGTTTAAAAATAAATTGAAGCCTAGGGGTAGCTTAATGACAGTAAAAACTAAGAAAGTCACTAAGAATACATTTTAGGACATTATGACATAGGTCACAATGATAATTAGAATAGCCTAAATCCTGCTGGGTATTTTATAAGTAGCAGATTTTCATACTGCTTCACTGCATGATCCCAGCCTAGGGTGCGATATATCTGAAAAAAATTGAAAAAAATTTTAAAAATAAAGACAAAAACCACAACGAAAAGTACAGATCAGAAACAGAAGTTGTAAATAAACAACTCCTGCAAATTCTATTTTCAATTTAAACTGAATCACTTTCATTAAAAATCATAACAATTAAGATTATACTTATTTGTTCCTTCTTTTATCATTTTACATCTAACATGCAACATTCAGACTAGGTAAAAACAGGCCTACCCAACTACCAGACGCGGCACCGAATGATCCTGAATTCACCGGTAGATCAGACCACGCTACCCGTTTTCAAGGTGTGTGTCAGATCGCATTACACAGTATCATACCCTGAACAAATTTTGAGTAGTGATGCAATGCTTTTCAACCCCGTTGAGAATTGTCACTATCACATCGCGTACTAGGCAAGAGCGGTGTCGCGTCTGATACTGTGTGATGCGATCTGACACACACCTTGAATACGGGTAGTGTGGTCTGATCTACCGGTGAATTCAGGATCATTCGGTGCCGAGTCTGGTAGTTGGGCAGGCCTGAAAAAGGTGCTTTTCTTCTTGTAACCTCTTTGTGAATGTAATTAAACTGACATGATTTAGGAAAATTTTTAAAAGGATCACCCCATACCCCCTCTATATGTACATGCAGTGGTTTGAGTTTATTATTTCAAGACCCTTTCCTTTAGGACAAGTTAGTCACAGAAATAGTTAGTACCTCAATGATCTTCAAATCATTTTCTTTGGTGTTCTTCTCATCATTCTGTTTCTGCAACACTTTCAGTGCACGGCCATAATGTTTGTGCGCAAGGGCATGGCGGACAACGAACTGTGACACCTGAAAACATGAGAAAATATGCAATTTTAAAAATAAAGAGCAATGATCAAACAGATGCTATCGGGTAAAACTGCATGCTCTTCAAGCAAACTAAAAGCCTAGTCAGATCATTTTCATTAAAAATATGAAATTTAAAAAAAAAGAAAGAAAAAAATGTGTATACTTTAGGGCATTTAGATACCTTAAAGTTTACGACTTTAAAAAAGAATCTGATTAATTCTCATCCCATATTTATTCCCTACTCTAAAGGTTCTTAGGATAAATCCACCATTTTGTTGCAGGAAGAAAAGAAAAGGGTTTCATTTCCCTCGTAACTACTTACATATATCTTTACCCTCACCTTGAGATCATTGATATCGATAAACTTTTGCAGCTCATAAAACGTAGCCGTCAGATCGTCCAGGGTAACTTCAGGCAGGTCCTCAGTGTCTCCCTCTGGTGGTTGTTCTGCTTTTCCCATGACAATGTCTGCCTGAGCACAGCCTAGCCGCCCCAGTGCGTCCACCAGCATGCCCTTCTGTTTGTCCATCTCACTAAGGATAAAATTATTATCATTAGGGTAAACGGCTCTTGTATAATACATTCAAGTATGAAGCTATCGTTTACTGCAAAAGTTGGAAAGTATGGCATGGAATCAAGGAGGACACCTACAGCAATGAAAAGATATCTTTGGCTCCCAAAAACTCAGAAAACTGCCGATAGTTGGGGAAAATCTCATCCCTGATAACAGTACAAATGGTCCTTGACTTTGATATAGGGGGTGGTGCACTGTGGACTGTTAGGCCCTTTGAAACATTGACTTTTTTTCTGCTATGACGAAGACTGACAAGTCAGTCAAAAATTCAACACAACAGAGAAAATGGAAGCAAATGTGTGAGACATGATAAAATAACAAAATACAACACCTTTTGATTGTCGCAGCTTCCGGTCTGGCGTCAGTCTTCATCCCATAGTATGCCAGCAGTGCATTCTGGTCTATGCGTGATGTCACTTCCTGTGCTGCAGCAAGGATAGATGGGAGTCTTTTAAGACGTTCTTGTTCATTGTCCAGGGACTGCAAGCGTGCCATGTAGAGGGAGAGATGATCAGGAACGTCTTGAAGTAAATCCTCAAATATGGTCTGGCTGTTGTCTAGCCTGGAAATGTAAAGAAAAAGAACAAGTTTTCAGAATTATTTCAATGTATTCAAAACTGATGCTCACAACTAAAATTGTGAAACATTTTACTGAGAGCTTTCAACTATAGCCATCACAAAACTATGACCAATTAACCTTATTATAGATTTCCTTGTTCTAGATTTCTAATCCTACCGTCATGAGCAAGCACTGCCAAATTCAATCACCATTACGATTACAAAAACTCCTTAACAGTGATCCATTTTGGATGGGGTAAACTTTGGCGATTAAGGTAAAATATGCTGAATTTTTTTTATTTATTTGTTTGTTTGTTTGTTTGTTTGTTTGTTTACATGAATGAGACCAGTCCTCACTGAAAAAGTAGGAAAATTGGCCATGATACTCGATTCACAAGAATGACCTAAATGACCCTGAAAAAGTCTGAATTCCGACAAAAGTCAGAAAAGTCTCATTAGCGTATTTATTAATTTTTGCTATAAAGATCTAATGCATATTGTGGGACTTCAAAGCCACTCACTTAGGCATCCAAGAAAGTTTTAGATCCCTGAGGGCTTCAGCATACTCCTGTTCTTTGGTCTTCTCCTTCTTGTCTTTGCCATTGTTCTTATTATTATTGTTCTTCTTCACTACTTCTGTTACTGTATACTTGAATGGGTAAACGTCCTGGAAATATTGACATCTTTTAAGCAATGTAAAATACCCAATTAGACATGTTGCTTTTGTTCTTAGTTGCCTTTTTCATCTGTTTTTTTTTTTTTTTTTTTGTTTTCTTTTTAATTTTTTTAAAATTAGTTTCTGACTCAAAGGTGAGTAAAAACAAAGTAAGACAAAGTAAGACAAATTAATAATAAAGCGAATACTATAAGACGTTTGAAAAAATATTTATTAATATTTTTTTTAATAAAGACATTTTAAATGAAAATGGCAAAACTGAGGGAAACTTATCAGAAAACTTAGGATTCATTTTAAGCCTCTTGTTGTTGAAAAGAAGGAATCATATGACATATGTTATTTCCACAATGACCTTAGATTGATAAAATAAAATACAATAAAAAATAATTTTAACATACTGCTTTCTTTCCCAACTCGTCCTTTGCAAGAGAAATGGTGCCTGACAGGAAGTGCCCCGCAGCGACACCTTTTGGCAATCTGAAAAAACAACAGCAGTGTTTAAAGCCTACATTTCCACAGCATTTTAAAATATCTCTAAATGCTTTGGTCACATTTTTAAGCCAAATTAGAAAATCAAGAAAGATATCCAAATCCACCTATAATGTACATGTAAAGCAATAGACAAATAATCTGATATTATAGCAAATGGAGTTGGGGGAAGGGGTTCCTTGTAGATAACATCCTTGATATGCACACATCCTTGATATGCAGTAAATTTTAGTATTTTATAATTTACAATGTTTAGTATATACCCTAAACTTAATAACCATTTCATCTCTTAATCACAACTTGTACATTTTCATTTCCTTTTAATTGTTAAAGCATATAAATATTTCCAAAGAGAAGTTGTACTATGTACATTATAAAACTCGTTTCATTTCTATATACTTACTTATCATCTGGTATTGGGGCAATAAAAACTGGGTACTTGTATCCTTTCTTCAATAAAAAGCACTGGAACTTCTTTCCACCTTGAAAAAAAAAAGAACACTGACAGTTCTGTAAACAGTTCTGGATATTGTCTACCCTGGTGACATTGAAAAATATTGCTCAATTTTCCAACAAATTCATTTTTTAAATTTGTTATTGAAACAGTTGTTTCTTCTTTTTTATTTGCTGTTAGATTTCTAATGCACATTGTTTGGCTTCACTACAACAGTCAGGTTGTAACTTTCCCAGGGAGGTGTCTACAGCCCTTCAGAATCAGAACCAAAAATATTCCACCTATTTTATCGTCTATAACTGTAAACTGCACTGAGATGTAATGAGTGTGGTATATATCATAAACCAACTTTACTTTGAAAACAACTGTCTTTGCCACTGTATCTTACCTATCATTGCATTGGCTGCATTGTGATACGTATCCACTGTGATAGTTGGAGTCAGTTTGTGATGTATTAACACAGGTAAATCTTTGATACGCTCCAACAGGTCCTGCTTGAAGTGACGGATCTGCAGCCTGATGGTGTATTCGCCTTTTTCTAGCTTCACATTGTACTGAAACAATAATGATTCAGTTTAAAAAGATGTAATTTTAAAATATTTGTCTATGTTATATCAAAGTCCCCTTCAAAAACTTACCTTTCACATAACATTTCACAAACCTATTGTGCATGTAAATAAAACAAGTTAAAGGTCCAGACTCAAACAGAATCTGTCGCTTCAGTTTGCAAAATGTTAAAAGAAAGCCAAACCTAGGAACTCTAGATCAGAATCTATTCTAGCATACCTTTTCTTTTTCAGGGTAAGCATCCCCCATGCCCAGGCACTGTTTATTCTGGTCAAACAGCATCCAAAGCTGGGACTGATACTCGCTCTCGTAGAGGAAGTCACTGAGTAGAGAGCAGTCAGGAGTGATCTCGGCCGTCTTGCTCTGAAACAATAATTTTGAAAATACTAAACTGTTGATGCCATTTCATGCTGTCATTCAACAACCTTGATGAATGTTTAATAAACACAATGTTTTTTTAATGTTAATAACTTACTTTTACTTATTTTTTCAATGTTAACATATTATTGTCATTTAATTTAAGAACAAGAAGTAGGCAAGAAAATGACAATATGACAAAAATTCTTTCACAATGACCTCTTTGTAGGTTTTAAGATGTTTTATAATACAATCTTGAGAAGACTCAACATTTTGTAACATCCCTTGCAGGTTTATTTACTTTCACTTCAACTTATCACCTGTGTAGAAACATATCTACTTCTTCAAACACTGACATAAATATTTAGTTATCTGTAAATACAAACTCATGGGCCATGAAGTCAGACTACTACTCACAATACTGAGTTTATAGGTCAGTTCTAGTGCATAGATCTGCTTGCCCTCCCACAGGAGATCTCTACTGGCTGCCAGACAGCACACCTTAGACTCTGCTGGCCTGAAATAATAATAATAATAATAATAATAATAATAATAATAATAATAATAATAATAATAATAATAATAACAATAACAACAACAACAACAATAATAGTAATAACAATAATAATAAAAGAAAGAAAATAAAGAGATAAAAGAAAACAAGGTAAAGGTATTAGCTTAACAAATGGCCACAGACATTAAGAATTAGTACATTTATCTATTTCTATTATTGACAGATTTTTACCCAGCATTTTCAAACAGAACTAGCTGAAAGTTGAACAGGTATATGTATAATATAGTAAAGATAATGAGCTCAATTGGAGTAAATTCTCTCTTCCTCATCAAGATAAGGTCAAACCAAAGGTAACACATGGTCTTTGTTTTTAATAAACTTAGTGTTATAATGGTAACTCGTTCTAAATGATAAAACACCATAGCTACAAAAAATAAGGCAGCTAACCTAAATGGATTCAAATGGTTTTTAAAATTATTCTAAGAAGGTTTAAAATTGCACTGTTACCAAGACAAGCTCACCTCAAAGGTTGCACATGCTCCTTGATTGTGATAACGGGAGATATTTCTTCATGTTTCAGCCCTGAGGTAACGTCTAGCCTCATAATGCCCTGAGCTCCATGCTAGAATGACAGGCAGAGATACAGAAATTACTGAAAATTTTCTCACCACTTAATTTTCCCAAATATTTTATTTTTAATTAGCAAGAATAATAAAATTTTTAGGCAGGCATTAAAGTCCTCTTGGACGCAAAACAATCAAACTATTTAAAACTTTTTAATAAAGATGTTCAACTATTTCTAACAACACACTTTTGGAAGGATATCATTAATTTGGGCTTTATGCTGTAGGACTTGGGATACACCATGATTTATGATTTAGCATATACAAGATAATTATACATGAGGACAAAGCACCAACTTTCCTGTACCATGAAACCAGGTAGTGATATTAGAGCGGATGCCAAAAACTAACCAACTCAGTTGCAGTGTAACTGTCATTTGTGAGTGTGTGCACATGTGAGTATGTGCCAGATACATAACTTCAAAGCCTTTTCTTGTAGACACTGCCATAGCATAATAATACTTACCATGTGTATCTGATTTGTATCTGGCATCAAACCATGGAAAGTGATACTATAGCTGGCTGTGGTGTCCCCTATGTTGGCCCACCACTTGGCTACACACAGTTCTAGTGTGACATCTTCCTAGAATAACAATAACCATGTCATATAAGAATAAAGATTATATAAACAAAAAGCACTCCCAAGACTTCTGCCACAGAAAAGGGAAAAATTCACAAATTAAAAAAAAAAGAAAATTTAAAAATGTTTTCAAGTATTCAGACATTTTACTGACGGCAACACTAAATTTCAAAGCCTTTTTCAATAATAGAAATACTTACTAAAACATGAAAAGATTGTGTTGTCTCTCCTAGCTCTGAGAGAGTTAAAAATTTGTCAAACTCATGCTTCCTATAATACGTGTGTTTGGAGAACTGCAAGGCATGGAACAAGAAACGGACGTTCTTTTCTGCATCTACAGATTGCACTCGAAGCACTGAAGCAGAATAAAATTAATTTTACAAACTGACCATTTCTTAAATATGAAATTTTATGTGTTAAGTATGAAATTTTTGTCACTACGATGTATTTTTAATCTCAGTATTTTTCATTTAATTTCAACAATTTCTATGAAGCATCAGATGCTTTATGAAAAATTAATCATCATTATTATAATTATTATCATAAGTAGTGATCTTATCCTTATTATCACATATTATTATGAACATGTTTATCATTTTTATTATTATGAATATTAAATACTTCAGTCTACTAGTAACCTGCCCATGTGGTCCCTTGTTATATCTAGATGATATATTATTATTATTATTATTATTATTATTATTATTATTATTATTATTATTATTATTATTACCTGCCCATGTGGCCCCATGTGGCACCCGTATAAAGTGCCTGTGGACCTGACCTGGTTTGAACTGCTGATTGGAAAACTCCACCCTGAAGTTGACTGTGTCTTGAACCCTGCAAGACGGGGTTTACAAATTAGCAAAATAAGAAAAAAAATTACAATATGTATTTAAACTATGATTATCACAACAATCAGTAAAATAACAGTCTGTGACAATTGGTCACGTCATGAAATAAATATTACAGCATTATTTTATTCGAAATTGTTTGTTTGAATGTTTTTCTTTATTCTTTCATCTATTTAATTCATTAATGCTTTTCATTTGATACCAAACTGTAATACTGTAATGTTTCACTGTCTACTGGCCCGATAAATATACTTATAGACTGACACCATAGTTAAACATTCATATCTTACAGATATTTACAAAATCAGTGATTTAAAATAGCATTACAAAAATTTAATTTATTTGTACATGGCTGTTAATATCTTAGATATCTTATTAAGTTCTATTTATTTTCAGTGTTTTGAAAATGCTTTCACTGATTTTTATGGAATACTCCATGCATGAATTATAATGATTATTATTATTATAACTCACGGTTCAGGGATGATCACAGTAACAGGTACTCTGAAGACAGGACCTTTGACTGGACATGTGACATCATAGGCCAGCACCTGGAGGACAGCAGTATTAATTAAGTAATAACATTTCTATATACAACTAATTACTCTGAAGACAGGACTTTTGCCTGGACATGTGACATCATAGGCCAACACCTGGAGGACACCATTATTAAGTGAGTTACTACACATATTAATACTACTCAACAAACAAGTGCAATCATCATCATCAAATAGAAATTCATATTTTCAAAGCATTTAAACTTATGTCCATGACAACAGTTTCAGTGGGCAACTAATGGAAATTACTTACCAGGGGGCACACTTAAAGACCTCAATTTACCTACTAACATGTGGAAACCCATTTTTCTACTACACACACAAGAATATGACACATGCATACACATGCATGCACGCGAAAAATCTGGTATTTGACTTCATTCATGAAACACAGGTATAAGCATCAACGCGTCTGTGTATATGCGTAGAGAGAAAGAGAGAAAGAGGGAAGGAGACAGAGAAAGAAAGCACTTAGTGCAATTTACTTTACCTCAGTGTAATGAACGCCATGTGTCAGCCCCCGCGGGTCCACCTTTACAGATATAGCCCGCGCAGAATTATTGAGTTCAAAATGGGATGGGACTTCTACATAAGAGGCATCACAGATAAGATTGAACCTCAGCATAAACTGGATCTTTTCATGCTGATCTGAAAAAATTGAAATACAGAATTTCATGGAAAGCATTTCAAAATGAAAACTTACATACTGTAACACCAACAATTTTTTTAACAAAACAAAAACAAAAAAAGCTTAAATAACTTGGATCTGTAAATAATCACAGTGATGAAGCTCATGAAAATTATTTCAGACCATACTTTCATTTTTAGGGAATCTTATTTACAGCAACATCTAGAAGGTTTGGTGGTGAGACTTACACAAAACAGTTCACATGAATCAATAAAAATATGGTCCTAATTTTCATGAATTTTCTCCAGGATGACTGGGCCTCTTTTAACTAAAATTCAATTTATTACCCTGCATACAAAAGTTCCACTATGAAGTCCTGTAAAAAGAGCACAATAAAGACAATACTGTTATTCTCACCAGTAGAAGGATCTATATAACTAGGTTCTACAGTGACGGCCACCTCCTGTGGTCTGGTTAACTGGGCCCACTCTCTGAGGTATACGCCCCGTGTACCAGAGGGTCCAGTCACCGTGAACTTCATCCGCCGTGTGCAACATGATGCATGCTGTAGGAGATGCTCAAAGGCAGCATCCACCTGAGAGTAAAATATGGAGGTCAGGATTTAGCGAGGAGAAAGCAGGTAGCATTTTCTTTTTTGGTTTTTAGTTTGACTTTGCCTCTGCAAACATTTTCTTTCAATACCAACACACTGTAAAAAATTTGTTTTAATCTAGAATCACAAGGTATTTTATAGTTTTCAGATCTTGATAATAATTTGTATTTCTAAGTATTGTCTCTTTCTATGTTAAGTCTACTGAACATTTAATGGATTTTAGACTTTAAATAAAATATTCCTCATTATTACAATTTCTATTATCATCATAATTATCATTATTCCTACTATTATAACCTCCTACCTGTAACATGCCATGTCCCTGTGCAAACCTCTCCATACTCTCTATATGCTGTGCTGTGTTCTCTATAGCTCGACGTACACTGTATGGACTGTAGTATGTCCCTGTGGCTTTCAGACCAGATAGCACAAGAGCTGGAGAAGAAAGATTTAGATTCTGAGTACTTAATAATGCATTGCCCACGAGCCCGATTTGCCAAGCGATAGTTAATATGATATCACAGAGCCCCAAGGTACGTATGGAAGGATGCAACAATGGTTCTCATAATTATATAAGAATTGCCAGCAGACAAATTCAAAAGGGAGCTTCAGTCATCATGTTTAAGAAGATTTACAAAAGTCTGGTTATTTTTCTATATAGCATAGACATAAAAACCCTATAATCTAAATCATCCATCCAGACCCTCTCAAAGATAATAAATGAAGACATAAAAAGTATGAACTGTGTGGATTAAAAATTTCATGTATACAAATGTTACTGTAACATAAATGTTTACTCTCACGCCTACCTATTCCTCCACAGGCATTAGGTGAGCTCATACTGGTTCCGTTCATGAGCTGAGATCCTCTGAGGGTCCAGTTGGGAACCGAGGCTATTGCACCCCCTGGCGCACTAATGCAAACCCCTAGGGCACCATCAGTTCTGAAATGTGCAACAATTTAATCTATAAAAAAACTCAAACTCTTGGTCAGACAATTGGTATTCATTAAGTTATAGTTATAAACTGATACTTCTTCCGTGACATTAAATGTGTAATAACCAGAAATTCATAACTGACTTAACATATGGAGGCACATATAATTCACAAATGTATGAGATCTGTTCTTTAACAATTTGATTCAGATTCTGCTGAATGGATGCAGAGCATGGATCCAAGCAAAATTTTACATCAAAACAACCACACAATTGCTTTCTATCTCTGTCGTATGAATCTTAAAAGCAAAAATAACACAAAAGCAAACAGCAGGGTACATACGCTGGGCCCCGTGAGGACCATGTATAGTGCATTCCTGGTAGTTTTTGTCTCAGTGAGTACTCAGCAGCCATCATCTCTGGGGACACATAGGCACCGACACCTGAGGAGAGAATGTGAGGGAAAATCATTACCCTGTTGCTCATATATCAACCAACAAAAGTGACAATCAAATATTTTTTATCATTTTTTCATATAACTTAATTTATTAAACCAATCATATTGAAATGGTTTAGTGGTTTAGTAAATAAAATAGACAATCTTTGTGAACAAAAATAAAATTAATTTCAAATTCAAAGACAAGAAAAAAGAATACACATATGAAAAGCATATAAAAATATACCACTGGCAAGCAACTATGTCACATACACACATCAATGGTAAAGAAAAACCAAATCTAATTATGAAATTAGAACCAAAATTACTCTTACAACCTGAGCGACAATAGCTAAGAAACTTATAATAATTATAATGATGATAATAATGATGATGAGGAGGAGGAGAGGGGGGAGGAGGAGGAGGAGAAGTAGAAGAAGAAGAAGGAAGAAAAAGATACCTATGAGAGCAGTGGTGGTGCCCCCTGGTGCCCCCACAGTGGACAGTCCAGGCCCATTATTGCCAGCACTGGACACATAGATGACCCCATGCTTGTCCACTGCCTCACTGAGTAAGGAACACACATGTCTGAAATGATTTCAAAATATGGTCATATATAACAATTTATCAGGATTGCAGGATAATATATGTAGCCTTCAAAATCTCGAACTAGGGGTGGATAAGAAATATTTTCTGACAGTCTTCCAAATCATCTATGTTGATCCATCCTCCATTTTTGACTGTTTCCAACAGAAAAAAATTAGATGCCCATCAATGTTAACTTAAAAATTCTGACCATCTTCTGGAAGACCCAGAAGACGAATTTCATCTTTCATCCCTGCAAACAGCAACAGACATTAAACTATTATTATTAATATCAGAATGTGTAACATTACTGGAGACTTAAACACTTTTTCATTAATCACTATCAACCTTACACAGCCAAAGCAGATAATAGAATTACAATCCATATTTTAAACCTATTATTTAATAAATAAATAAATAAATAAATAAATAAATAAATAAAATCCTACCCAGTGTCGGGCCAGTGAGTGGCTTCCCCATAGCTGTAGTTAACCAGGTCACACTTCAGCTCTGTCACCTTTATCATCTGTCACAAAAATAAATGAGTACAGTCAGGGCCTTGGTCAAAGTTTGTAAAAAAATGCCTATTTTTCTAAAAAGACTAAGCAATGTTTGCATCCTTCATCAAGGGAATCTGTCATGTGATCACTGCCTTGAAATCAAAATGCTATGACCCATGTTTTGGCTTTTCAAAAACAATTTAAATTTTATCAAGAAGTGGGTAGTCAGATTAATTATCCTCATGCCACAAAACAAGTTTTTGGCAACATTTTAATTCAAAAACTTACATTGCACTGAAAGTCTACTGAGCAAATTGGATTTTAGACTCTAAATAAATAAATAAATATTATTATGTACAGTACAGATGATTGTGGCAGCTTAAATCAACAAATATAACACTACTTAGGTCAATTTATGAATAAGGTGAAAATCAACGTACTGCTCTGGCCAATGAGGTTCCCGTTTCCATGGAACCAAGACGTGTGTCTCCAATCTTAATGGCGACTATCTGAGCCCCGGGTGCTACGCCATTCTTCTCTGGTTCTGCAGGAAAATGTCCTGCGGCTATACACGCCACATGGGTACCGTGGGAACCTGGGAACCAGTGCAGAATTATCACAATCATTATGATTTTTTAAAATTATATGAATATTTTACTTGTTAAGTGGCCTCAGACTGCCACGCTGTGATAACAACTTCATGATATCGGTCAAAGGGTATTTATTTATTTATTTATTTATTTATTTATTTATTTATTTATTTATTAAAATAACTGACCCAGAATAAATGTATATGATATCTCTAAATTGTCTCCACTACGACTAACAAAATAAACTCATTAAGACTACCACACTTTGCTCAAAGGTTTTAGGTTTAAAAACAACAAGGTACTCAAGCAAACTGAAAACATTACCTACCTGCATTTGTAACCACTTCTAACAGGTTGCCGTCATTGTATATGTTAACACTATAGTTCAGCATATCTGAAATGAAATGATCAAAACTGACTGAAAACACCAATGCTGATACCATAAACATCAATGAAAGCATTGACATAATGGTATTCTATCACACAAATGTGAATTATTAGGGTTGCATAATTATGAAAAGTAAAATACTTCAACAGTATGTCAGCAGTAATTTACTGAATATATTCCAAGAACTTTTATCTAAATCTCTTGCTGCCAAAAGGAATCTGTATTAAAGGTGAAATTAAGATATCCAGTGAAGCGTCTTCTGTTTAAGTAGTTGACACATTTGCAGCCTTGCAGGCAAGACTCCATCGCACTAGTTACCAAGGAACATCTGCATGCTGAACAGTGGGATTGCAGTCACAACATTTGACTCTAATAGCACTGGAACCTAGGAGAGTTTATCTGTAGATATTGGTGGGCGTTTCCCCAAAATAATCAAGACTTTATCACCTTACTCAGTGTTTTCTTGAAATGCAACACTCAAATCCCATAACTCAAATTTTTCATTGTTTTTATCATACATAACTGGATGTCACCTTATGCATTTAATGCACCCTGGAATCACCTAGTTCCTGATCCACAGTGTGGCAATCGGTGGAATTGTAATTCAGTCTCTGTCAAGTGGATTTTGTTTACATCCTACCCAAAACATCAATGCAGGATTTGCAACAATCAAGAAGAGACACTGTGCCTCTATTTCACTGTTAATTTTTTTAGCAGATAAAATATAGACAAGCTTGTTACCTTCATTGCTCAGTGTCCCGTACTGGCGCTCTTCTCTGTAGTTGGCCAAGAGTTTGCAGGATTCCAGGTCACCTTGTTCACTGGTGTCCACACAGGCTCTAAAAGATGAACAAAGACATGTCCAGTCTGCATCTAACAAGGTTTTACCTTTAACTTGTTTAAATGCAAATACTCCATTTTGAAATTTAGGAAAGTTTCAGCAAATTATCTTTTATCACCAACTGAAGTCTATAATAAATATCTATCTAAAATCAATTAGATAATTTACATTATATTAATGAAGCCAGAAAGTAGTTCTAAATTTGCAAAATTTAACCAACAAGAGACCACTATGACCACTCTTTTATTCAAAATTTACTTTTATTAAAAATGTGACCCAGAATTTGAAATAAACTGAAATAATATTCATACCTCCAAGTCTCACCGTCATGGAAGACCACACAGTCAAATACAGGGCCACAAAAACTGAAATTCTTGTCCATACTGGTCAGATGCTCCACTCGGGACTTCAGGTCTTCTTTGATTAATTTTTCCTCCTGAAGATGTAATAATGTAAAATAACCCAAATAATGAGATATATGTGGTCTTTTAAGGTTTTAATTTCTACTACCCACAGTCTTCTGTGCTATATATTTCATTTTGAAATTTCTGAAAATTTAGCAAACTTTCTATTATCTCCAACTGAAAAAAAAAGAGAGATGAGAGACCAACAGAGATAGAGAGAGGGCGAGAGACTTACCACTCTGGCCAATGAGGTGCCATTTTCATGGAGCCAAGATATTTGTCTTCATTTTTAGCACCCAATATACGTGCCCTAAGGGATTCTCCCTACCCCTACTTAGTGACCTGATAAAGTTTCTGTTCTCAAACATAAAGCCACATCTGTACAGATACAACCACAAACACAGCACTTACAGCATTCGGTGTGGGGTGCTTGGCATCAAACTCCTCCAGGAGTCTGTTGGCCTCAGCCAGTGTCACCCTGTGTTGTGGGTCCCATGTCTTCTCTCTGTTCTCCTTGGACAGTCGGTCCCGCAGCCCCCTGGGGTACAACTCCATGGCACTCTTCACCCCCACATGCCACTGCCCACTGGGGTTCCTCCAGTCCTCTGGGACCTGCAATGTGAAGTGGGTGTTATGTGAAGATGTAACAGGATGTGTAATGTGAAGTGTGTTATGAAAATATTATGGGAATGTGTTATGTGAATATATAATGGTAATGTGAAAAAGACTGTGAAGGGCTGTCATGAGAATATCTAATGTAAAGGATGCTTTATTGCAGACAAATTATAAAGAAATTCAGATCAAGTCTGCCCCCTTATTCTACATCAAACTTTCCCAGACAAAATTAGGCCACACTTTTTTATTTTTATGGATGACATCCTCTGGGGACCCCAAAGTCGGTGCGAGCGGGCGAAAAAAAAAAAAACAG